ACATACACCTCTCCAAGTTGTACAATTATTTCGACCGCCGTCTTCACACACACACACACATGGCGGCGACGACGACGAGGGCGGCAGTGACCGTCTCCATGGCCCTGTCCATGGCAGCCCGGCGTATGACGCCCATGAGTGCCGTGGCTCATGCCCGTTTGGCTGGCCTGCGTCGCAACTATGTCAACCCTGACCTCAACGTAGGTGCCCTGTCCTTCATTTCAAAACTTGGTTTGCTTGCTCCCGGTCGTTCGGAAGGGGTGGTCCCTCCTGCACAATACCCCCTTGCCTCCGCCTCCGCCTCCACCGATTTTCCTCTCTTGGTCTGACGATGACGCCTTCACTCGGCCCTCTGCTCTGCTTGATGCTCTTGGTAGCGTGATGGCCGCCCCGTGAGCCTGCGTAAGCAGTTTGACGGCCACCGCACGCGCGAAGTCCTGGCCAACAACACATTCAAGGGCCTCATCCGCCACGCGGGCCTCAGCGCCGGTAGGTGACTCGCTACTTACCGCTCGCCTACCCTAGTGCCCTCTGCGTGCCCCCACCTTGAAAGCTCCTGTGCCCCCTTGCAGAGGAATGGATCGATTTGCGTGTGCAAGTCAAGAAGAGCGGAGCCAATATGACAATCCTGCCCAACGGCGTGATGCGCCGCCAACTCGCCCTGCTTGGGTATGTCCCTCGACTCCTCCTTCACTCATATCCAACCCCTGGCTCCACTGCTATGTTGGACGTGTATCATTTCCCTTGGCTGTGCGCTCCTCCCCGGCCACCCCTTTTATTTTTTTTTGCGCTGCTGATCTGGTAGCGCATACACATACACACATACACACAGACGCACAGACGCACATATGCACGCCCGCACAAATACACGCCCACACTGGCCATGATGACCTCACGCTGTGGAGTAAACATTGCAATAGCGCATCGGAAGAGACGGTAGCCATCTTCAAGGGCCCAATCGCCCTCGTGCACTCGGATGAACTCTCGTTCAAGCTCCTCAAGGAACTCAACGATCACCCCAAGCTGGTGGGTCATTGCACCATCAAGCCCCTACGAGCCTCGACTGTTCAGACTGTTCAGGCCCAAGCCTGACCTGTGCTTCACCCCTGTTTTGCCCATAGGAAATGGTTGCCGCCCTAGTTGATGATCAACTGGTCGACCATGGCAAGATTGAACAATACGCCAGCCTGCCGGACAAGGACACCTTGCTGGCCCAGCTCGTCGCCGTACGTGCATCGCCCCAGAAAGCGTCTTGGCCTTGCCTGAACCATATTCCCTTTTGCCGTGCTATCGTCGCTGCGCTTGTCTGTCTAAAACTCAAATCACACGCCTACGTCGTGCCACCGCCGAATCTTTGTCTTGTCACAGACGCTGCAGCAACCAGCTGGTGCCTTGGCCCAAGTCCTCTCGCGCAATCAAACCGCTCTCGTCCAGGCTCTGCAGCAGCTTCACAAGATGCACGAGGACGGCGAGGGTGCAGACAAGTAAACGTGGCTGCAACTACCTCAACACCACTACCTTCAACCATCTTCGTCGCTGTTTTCTCCTTGCATCCAGTGCTTCTCCTCTTGCCCGCTTTCCTTTGTTAACTTTTCTTTTGCGTGGTTCCTCAAAATTGAAAGGTTCCCACACTGTCTCTTGGCTGTGTGTTTCAAGGAGATACCCGCGCACAAACGCTTGAGCCTTCATGAGAATTCCCATTTTCAAGCTTTTTCGGCCAATTTTCGTGTATTTTGCCCTGCTTGGGCCGCTGTATCAGCTGGAACCTCCTTCAAGGCACATGCATGCTGATGAGGTTTTTGGCATCGATCCAAAGAATAAGACCGCTTGAATCGAACCCACTGCCCGTCGTTTAACCAAGGGGCCACCCCCCCCCGACATGGTATATAGTCACGAGATGAAAATTGTGACACAAATTGTGGGGCCAAGTGTCGTAAAAAATTTACACCAGGTGGACCCTGGCAAACATCGAAATCAATCGGCTCAGTTGGCCCGACCAAAGACGCTTAAGGCCGACCTTTTCTTTGGAACGTTGACATGTAGTATGTCGAAGACGGAATGGGTTGGTGTTCGATAGATTCGGGAGCAATAAAAAAGCAACCTACTTTATGGATGCAAAACTCGAAACAGCAGATCGCACACCTCAAGTCTTTGCCGCTACAAAAAAAAAAGTGAACTATCACCAAGTGGTGCGGCAACGCTTGATGCCTGATGAACCGCGTTGTGCACATGCGGCAAACTTGGTTGGGCGGGCGTCATAAAGACCTCGCAAGAAAATAGAGCAAGAAGTGGGTTTCGCCATGACGAGAGGCTTCAGCGGAATAATATGGCAGGCGCATTCATAAGGGAGAACAACATGGGACAAAGCAAAAAATGGCCGACAGCAAATCAAGAAGAGAAGGATAAACGGAAAGAGGAAGAGGAGGGAAGGAAGCGTAACAGAGAACAATCAAAACGAAAACCAAAGTCAAAAATCAAAAGATCGCACGCAATTGGGACGGCCACAAGATGGGGACATTGACGAGGAGGATGGGATGAATCTAGAAGAAGAGAGTCAAGCCGCCTGGAAGCAAGGACCGCTGCGCGCTAAGGGACGGGGCTGATGGGCTCCTCATCATACACCTCGTTCTCCGGCTGTGCTTCAAACTTGAGTTCGTCGGCAGAGCGCGCCAGCACTTGCGATTGGTGCTCGGCCTCCCCGCTCTCATTTGCCGTCAATTTTTTCTATCGAGCAGCAGCATCGAGTGAGAAATCACCGGCCAACATCATGAATCGGGCCCAAAGGCCTCAGAATCGATCCAACAAGCACGTGGGCCAGTGACAAATCAAGCACTGTCGACGCACCAGCAATCGCAACCAAACCGGCTTGTCCGAGTCGTACTACGGCACGCGCATGCAGGGTGCACATTCCTTGTGAGGATTCAACGCAAGGGTGAGGCGATGCGCAGGCGGCCGCCACGTACGGCTGGTTTGATAGAAATGTTGGTCGTATTGTTGTGGATGATAATGCAATCGCTGTGGTCGTCAATGACTGTGCCTGCCTCAAAGACAATGCGCTTTCGCATAGGTTTCTGTATTGTTTGGTGCCAGCAGGCGGTTGTTGGTGAGGAGTAGTGACGCAGGTCAACATTGGCTAGCACACGGCAGGCAGGCTTGCAGTAGGCGATGCAACGCACGTTGATGGCTGGGTGCACGTCAATGCGATCACGAAAGACAAAGGCGAACCCGGCCTTCCATTGACCAAGCATGCCACCACGCCGCTTGATGTTGCCCTGCAAGATACAACCCGTCGCTGGATTGGACACGATGGGATGACGGAAGAGGCAATGGTCATGACAGTGAGAGCTCGCACTGGCAGGGCCAGCAGAGAAATCGGGGCACGCGTGACGTACTGTCGTGGTCACCCTGGGCCATCTTCTTGTGCCACTTGGCATCTGCCTTATCAGCAGCTGAGACCATCATATCATACATGGAAGCGAGGATCTCGCGCTGCCATTCATGGGACATGGTATGGGTAAAGTGACCGTAGTACTTGTCTTGTTCCTGGGCCGTCACGGTGACGTGTTTGATGTCACGCTCATCATGTCGATCAATCTCGTGCACGTCGCTGGCATTGACGCGGTTGCGGAACGGCTGAATGGGGGCCTCAAGGCGATGATCAGCTAGTGCTGCCCAGTTGACGGTTTTGAAGAAGGCGTGCTTGCGAACGGCCTGCAGGGATCGATCACCAGAGCCCAGGCGCTTGGTTGGGTCTTTGTGCAGCAATTGCGTGATAATGTCACGAGCATCAGTGGACATGTCATCGGGCAGAACGACCTCCTATGAACGCATGCAGGTCGGGCAAGTCAAGTGAGGCGATAAAGGAAGAGGTGGGGGGAGCAGAAAGTCCGCAGGTAGGTGGATCATCATCATACCGTCTCTAGAATGGCCTGACGCGTGTTATCTTTTGATTGGCGTTTGCCATCGTGGAAGCGCCACGGATTGCGGCCCGTGAGAAATTCAAAAATGACACAGCCGAGGCTGAAAAGGTCGGCTTCGTACGAATACTCGACGCCTGCCTGTAAGACTTCAGGCGCCATGTAACCGACCGTGCCGCTACAAGCAATTGAGTTGAAGGCATGTGTATCGAGGTCAAGTTGCGTCGAGATTGCAAAGTAACAAGCAAGAACAATCAACAAAATTTCAATGATGTCAACAAACAAACAAACAAACAAACAAACAAACAAACAAACGGACAAACACGCAACCGAAAAGGTCAAGGCGAGGCGCCAGCCTTGGACGAGACGAGACGAGACGACAGTGGGTGGCTGGACCAACCATTCTGAGGTGGGCAGGTTGCGCACAGTGTAGCGGGCAAGGCCCAGGTCGGAGATACGGGCATGACCCGAGCGGTCCAGCAAGATGTTGGCTGGTTTGAGATCGCGGTAGATCAGGTCACGCGAGTGCATGTGCACCAAGCCGAGGACAATCTCAGCCGCGTAAAAAGCCGCCTAAGGCGGAGCACGCAGAAGGATGAGTGAGCACATGGCCATTATCCGCCCATGGTGTGGCTTGGGTTGGTACGTGTCCAAGCAGCGCCGAGCGACACGTACGGTGGGTTCTGCAAATGGACCGCGTTTGAGGTGGAAGTGCAAGTCGCCGCCCTCGAGCAAGTCCATGATGAGGTAAAGGTGATCTTTGTCCTGAAAGGCGTACTTGAGGTTGGTGACGAACTTGGAGTTCATCTATCACAAGGAGCAGGCGTGAGGGGGGTGAGTCCGAGGGTAGGAAGAGGCATGCACGATATTCAGAATGTATATTTTGAACCGGCGGGGCGCCCTGGGCCAGCGCACCTCAGCCAGAACATTGCGCTCGTGTGAGGCTGAGGTTTCTTGATTTCGGATTTTGAGTCGGCGCTTGTCGAGGCGCTTCATGGCAAAGATGTGGCCCGTGTCACGTTTTCGGCATGGATAGACTTCTCCAAAGCCACCGCGACCAATGAGTCGATGGACTTCAAAGTCTTCACGGGTGATGACCATGTTGAGCTCGAGGTGTTTCCATTGGCAGTAGCGCACAAAGTAGTCACTACGGGACCCCAAGATGACGAGGATACGCAAGATTCAGCGGTGGTTTGGAGCGTGAGTGAGTCAGAGTGAGTGAGTGTATGTTTGGGTGCAATTTGGAAAGAGAATGACCACGGACCTGTTGACAAAGTCTGCCCAGGGTTCTCCAGCCAGATAGCGGTGGACGCCGGAGATGCATGCTTCAAAGGGCGCGCTAACGCTCACGAGGTCGTCTTTGCTTCGGCCTTGCAGG